GACCGACTTCTCCACATTGATCTTGCATCTCGCTGCGCTCGCGAAGATGATTAGTTCTAGTGGCTTTGTTTTTCTAGATTACATAGATTTTCTACATAGGTGATCATGTCATTTACAAATCAAGACCATTTTACTTATTTCTTTCCAATCTGCACCGCTTGAACCTCCAGTACAATGTTGAATAGCAGTGAAAAGGGCAAACCCAATGCCTGGTTCTGATTTTAGGGGAAGATTTAGCATTAGTCTTTAACCATTAAGTATGATGTCACCCATAATGTTTCGTCACGTTGGAGAAGCCTTTTTTATGCCTAGTTTGCTGAGAGTTTTTTTTGTTTTTTTTTTTTTTTAGATCAGGAATGGGTGTTGGGTTCTGTCCAGTGCTATTTCTGCCTCTGCTGAGATCATCTTTATGATTTTTCTTTCTGTTAATATGGTTAAGTTACAGGGGCACCTGGCTGGCTCCATTGGTTAAGCATCTGACTCTTGGTTTCAGCTCAGGTTGTGATCTCGGGGTTGTGAGATTGAGCCCCGCATCAGGCTCTGCGCTTGGGATTCTCTCTCTCTCCCTCCCCCACCCCCCTCAAATAAATAAGTAAATAAAATCTTTAAAAAATATATGGCAAGTTACATTAATTGATTTTCAAATGGTAAACCAAATCTGCATCCCTGGGATTAACCCCAGTTGATCATGATGTATTTTTATATTGTTTTTATATCGTTTATATTGTTGCTGGCTTCATGGAATGAGTTGGGAGGCTTTCCCTTCTCTTCCCTTTTCGGGTAGTATTTGTGGAGAATGGGTTTTATTTCCTCCCTAAATGTTTTCTTAGTCATCTCTACACCCAGTGTGGGGCTCGAACTCACCACCCTGGGATCAAGAATCTCACGCTCCACCGACTGAGCCGGCCAGGGGCCCCCTCACTAGATGTTTTGTAGAATTTCGCAGTGAAGTCCTCTGGGCATGATGTTCTCTTTGTGGGAAGGTTTTTAAAGAAAAGTTCACATCATTCAATAGGCATATTCAGGCTCTCTATCTCTCCCAGAGTGAGCTCTGGCAGTTTGTAATTTCCAGTGAATTTGTCCATTTCATCTAATGTGTCAGATTTTTTGGCATAAAGTTATTCATAACATTTCCTATCATTTTCATGTGTGTAAAATTTGTACTGGTGTGGCCTCACTCCTTCCGTTTATCAAGAGTGTGTCTTCCCTCTTTGATTCCAGATCGATCTTCTTCTAGAAACAGCTTTTGGGTCATTATTTTTCTCTGTTTTCTATTTCATTGATTCCTAATGTACCCTTTGTTATTTCTCTTCTTCTGTCTACTTTGGGTTTCATCTGTTCTCATCTTTTCTAGCTACTTTAGGCGGAAGCTAAGATCGTTGGTTTGAGACATGTCTTTTCTTAAATAGGTGTTTAGTGCTAGAAGTTTCTTTAAGGACTGCTTTAACTGCACTCCAAATAAAGGTGTTTTTGGTTTTTTGTTTTCATGCTGTATTTTCATTTCCATTTAGTTCAAAATAATTTTTAATTTTCTTTTTGGGTTTTTTCTTCAATACATGGAAAATTAAGAAGTGGATTATTTGGTTTGCAAATATTTGAGAATTTTCCAGATAGTTTTCTGTTCACAATCTCTAATATAATTGTAATGTGGTCAGAGAACATTCTTTTGATGACTTGAATTATTTTGCATATGTTGAGACTTGGGCCCAGAAGATGTAAAATTCTTCCAAAATTATCAGTTAGCCCAAGTTAGCTGGCAGTCTTCTATGTCCCTAATTATTTTCTGCCCACTTGTTGAATCCAATATTGGGAGAGGAAAGTGGAACTCTACATATAATTGTGGATTTGCCCATTTCCCCCAATCAGTTTTTGACTTTTATTATCTGTCATTAGGTTCATGCACATGTCCTTAATCAGTTTGCTTTTATGAAATGATCTTATTTATCTCTGGTGATATTCTCACTGTGAAATCAACTTTGTCTGATAATCAGTACAGCCCCTCTAGCTTTCTTCTGATGAGTGTCAGCATGGGATACCTTTTCCCATCCTTTTACTTTCACCTATTTGTGTCCATATGTGAAGTGTGTTTATGTGGGTAGCATAGAGTTGAATCTTGCTATTTTACCCAATCTGGCAACCTCTGCCTTTGTTTGTTTGTTTATTTTTAGATTTTTAAGAATTTATTCATCTGAGAGAGAGAGAGAGCACGAGCAAGAAGGAGGGTCAGAGGGAGAAGGAGAAATAGACCCACTGCTGAGCAGGGAGCCCGACGTGGGGCTCGATCCCAGGACACTGAGATCATGACCTGAGCCGAAGGCAGACGCTTAACCAACCGAGCCACCCAGGCATCCAGCAACCTCAGCCTTTTAATTGGGATATTTAGACTGTTTACATTTAGTGTGGTTATTGATGTGGTTGGGCTTACTCTACCATCATTCTATTTATCTTTTATTTGCCTTGTCTGTTATTTCCCCTTTTTCTGTTTTCTTTTTTTAATAAATTATTCCATCTGTCTCCTTTGTTGCCTTATTAGGTGTAATGCCTTCTTAGGTTGTTTTAGTGATTGCTTTGGGGTTTTTAACTGGCAAGGACATGATACCATCTCTATGTAGTAAAAGAACCCTACAACCCTGTATTTGACTTTCCCCTCCCAGCCTTGTGCTCTTGTGGTCATATATCTTACTATGATATGATTCATATATGAGCCCCACAATACACTGTTGTTATTTTTTGTTTTAAGTAGTTGTTGATTGTCAGGGCTCCTGGGTGGCTCAGTTGGCAGAGCCTCTGACTCTTGTTCTCAGGGTTGTGAGTTCAAGCCCCACATCGGGTATGAACCCTAAAAAATTGTTAAAAATAAATGGCTGATTATCTTTTAAAGAGATTTAAATGATAAGAAAAACATCTCTTGTTGCTACTCATGCAGCTACTATCTCTGGTGCTCTTTAGTCTCCTTCTCCTTCTTATTTTATTATTATTATTATCATCATCATCATTATTTGTGTGTGTGTGTGAGTGAGTGTGGCTTCAGGTTTCCGTCTAGTGCCCAGAGGATGTCCTTTAACATTTCATGTAGTATGGATTTGCTCATGATTAATTATTCCAGCTCCTTATGTCTGAAAAAATTCTAATTTCATCTTTGTTTCTAAATGACATTTTTACTAATAAAGAATGCAGGTTGGCAGGTTTTCTTTTTTCAGTATTGTAAAGAGATTGCTCCACTGTCTTGCGTGCATTGTTTTCATCCAACAAGACATCAACAGAACATCCTTCTCTTGCTCCTGTATACAAAATTTTTCCCCTGGATACATTTTGGTTTTTTTTTTTTTAAGATTTTATTTATTTATTTGACAGAGAGATAGAGAGATAGAGAGAGCACAAGTAGGCAGAGAGGCAGATAGAAGCAGAGGGAGAAGCAGACTCCCCACTGAGCGGGGAGCGCGATGCGAGACTCGATCCCAGGACCAGATGCTTAATCGACTGAGCCACCCAGGCGCCCTACATTTTGTTTTAAAAAAGATTTATGTATTTGAGAGAGAGAGAGAGAGAGCACGGGCGGGGGCAGAGGGAGAGAGAATCCCAAGCAGACTCCCCACTGAGCGCAGAGCCGGACATGGGGCTCGATTCCACAACCCTGAGATCATGACCCAAGCTGAAACTAAGAGTTGGACGCTTAACCTACTGAGCCACCCAGATGCCCCATTCCCTGGATACTTTTAAGATATTCTCTTTATAACTATTCTTCAGCATTTTGAGAATGATGTACATGCTTCAGTGTAGTTTTCTTCATGCTTCTTGTGCTTAAGTTTTGTTGAGCTTTTGGGAACCGAGGGCTTATGTTTTTCATTACATTTGTAAAATTTCTGGCCATTTTCTCAAGATACTTTTTCTTTCTCACCTCCACTTCCTATCCTCTGGTGACTCCAACTCCACATGTAATTCACCATGTGGAGTTGCCCAATGGCTCACTGACACTGTTCATTTCTCTTTTCAGTCATTTTTTGTCTCTGTGTTTCATTTGGATAGTCTTTATTGCTATGACTTCAAGTTCGCAATTTTTTCTTGCGCAATATTCTATCAATCACATTCAACGTATTATTTATCTCAGATGTTTCATTTTCAAAGTTCAGTTTGAGGCTTTAAAAAATCTTCCATGTCTCTACTTAGCATATGCAGTCTTTCCTCTAGCATCTTGAACATATGGAGTATAGTCACAGTGAGTGTGCCTACTAATTCTCACCTTTGTCACATCTGAGTTAATTTTGATTGATTTCCCCCCTCATAATGGGTTTTAATTTCTTGCCTCTTTTTCATGCCTAATGATTTTTGGTTGTATGTCAAACATCGTGTATTCTACATTTTGGGTGCTGGATAGTTTTATATTTCTGTAAATATCCTTATATTTCTTTCTGGGATGTAGTTAAGTTACTTGGAACTTGTGTGATCCTTTTGGGTCTTGTTTTTAAGCTTTGCTGGACTGGACCAGAACTACATGTAGCCTAAGGTTGATTTTTCCTTGCTACTGAGGCAAAACTCTTCTTTCTACTCTAACTGATGCCCCTCAACTTAGGAGGTTCTCAGTGCTGGCTGTCAGAAACAGGCGCTATTCCCACTGTCTGTGGGCTCACCCTTCTGCGTGGCTCTTCCCCTAAGTTGGGTGTGGCAGCCTGCAGTCAGCTGAAACCTCTGTAGATCCCTGGGATTCCTCTCTGCACAGCTATTTCCTCTCCAGGATTCTGCCCTGTGGACTCTGGCCACTTGCCCTCCTGGGACTCCCCACTCCATCCCCTCAGCTGAGGGAGACCTCTGGGCACTGCCCGGGTCCCAACTGCCTACACTAACCCTGGAAACTCTCTCTAGGCAGGGAGCAGGGACGGTCGTAGTCTCCCTCATTTGTTCCCCATCTCAAGGATCACTGCCCTTGCTCTGTAATGTTCTGTGTTTTGGGTCCTGTTTTTCACATATATTTATCTCCGCCTTTTTTTTCTTCCCTGTTTCAGGCGAGAGCATGTGAATCTGGTCCCTGTTACTTCATCTGGAGCAGAGGCAGAAACCTCTACAGCAGGTTTAAATTCCCTGCCAAGCACTTTCCACCACCTGAAGCATTTCTCAGTCATTACACCTGCTATGAAGATGCCATCTCTTAGTAGGGATGGGGGCCTTGTCCTCCTGGCAAAACCCCACATCTCTAGCCCCTCTGACAGAACCTGGCACAGAGCCAGGGAGCAGCCTGTCGTGGTTGAAGGATAATATGAAGAGCAACATATTTGGGGGACTCACCTGTGCCAGGCAGGTGGGAGACAGAGACTCTTGTAATCTTCATGACAATTCTGTGGGTCGGATTGTGGATGGGGGAGACTGAGACAGAGAGGTTAGCCAATTGTGTTAAGTCTCAGTGTTAAAGGGGCAGGATTTGAACCAGTTTGGTATTTCAGGTCAGTTGTCATGAAGGAGCAGTGGGCGCTTGCCAGTGGGAGGGCCTCCTGGAAGAAGTGGCCTGGGCTGGACATTCAGGCAGGCCTGGCTCCTGCCTGGGGAACCGCAAAAAGGTGGGCCTGGGGGCTGGGAAGTGGCGAGGCCAGGGAGGGGAGCTGGGTGCCCTTGGTGGGGGCCACCTCATTGGGTGCCTCCGTCAGGGGGCAGCGTGTCCCGGAACAGGGAAGTGGGCCGGCAGCACTGGACGCCTCAGAGTAGCTCTCTGGGACCCTCCCTAGCCAGTACCCACTGGGTGGGCCACGCCTCCCCGCCCCCCCGGCCTGGGGCCGCTCATGGGCCCATGCCTCCTCCCCACTATCCATCTTATCCCCCACGCTGCGCTGGATTGCCTTGCATTCAGCCCCCTTCCTTGTTTCTGACCTCCCCCCACCTCAGAGCCACCTTTTCACAACACCTGCCTTTGGCGGCCTGCACACCTGTTGGAGTTTTCACGCTCCAGTTGTGTCTCCTCACAAACCTGTTCCTGAAGTCCGTGGCAGCCTTCGAGCCGGCTGAGACCCCCTCTGCCCACCTGCCCATTTTGTCCTAGAGCACCTGCCGTGACCACCAGTGCCCCCCCTCCCCCCGCCCCAGGTGGGCCCTGAACCAGCTCTCCTTGCTTCCTCCCCATCTGCAGGGCCTGAATCAAGTGCGAGAGGGCTACTCGGGTCTGCCCTTTGGGCCCTCACTCAGGGTGCAGACAGGACAAGGTTGGCTGGGCTCACCTCTACCCATCCATGAGGTGCCTACACTGGTCTGGAGACAGGATCTGCCTTCTCACTTGCTTGGGAAGGTGGGCAGTCTGGGCCTTGATAGACCCCAAACCCTGACTGTTGGCACTCTCTCATCCAGCTCTCCTCTGCCTTGGGAATGTTGGTCTGCAAGGCCTCTGTAGTTTCAGTCTTCCCTGGAAGGCTTCCTGGAAGAGGGGACTCCTAAACGGAGTTCCTGATGGAGCAGCATGGATAACAGTCCAGAGGGGATTGAGAGGCTCCTGCATGGGGGGGGGGGGGGCAGTATTATTTGGCCAGAGTTTGTGGGGGGAGGGAACGTGGTTGGGACCCAGGCATCCAGGGCCTCAAGGGTCATGGGGTTTATGTCGAGGGCACTATGGAGCCACAGCAAGATCACGGTTGTATTTTAAAATGATGATTGTCCATTCCGGTGAAGTGACAGTGGAGGGGAAGCTGAGGAGAGCCTGGCCCCGTCTTCAGATCAGAGAGGATGGGGAAGAGGCCCTGGTGGGTGAGGGTGGGGGAGGCGGGGCAGAGCAGGTGCTGAGCAGGGCAAGGGCAGCTGGGGCAGTGTGGGGAAACAGCCAGGAAAGCTGGACTCCAAAACACGTGGTTTCAGTCCTGGACATGCTGACTGCCCACTGGGAAATCTTGGGCGAATTACCTGCCTTCTCTGTGCCTTTGTTCCTTCATCTGCATCAGGTGACAGCAAGGCACCTGCCTGCCTGTGAGGATCAAAGAAGGCGCGATGTGTGTTGGTCTCTCTTACTATTGTTAGTGTCCTTGGGGTTAGCATCACAGTGACAGGCGGGCGCTAGAAACATACTGCCTTCCGTCCAGGCTGCGGGGTGAGCCGGGGCGCCCGGGTAGAACCTCTGTGCCCCACTTCACCGGAGACCTGTTCCCTTCTCCCGGAGCCGCTTGGGACCCGAGCTGGCTCTTAGATCTCTCCACTGCTCCCAGCGGCTCCCCGAGGACGTGGATCTCGAGGCCCGGAGAGCTCCGCGGCCATCCTGTCCGCCCCTCCTGGGCAACCAGGAGATGGCCTAGCTGCGGTCAGGGCTGGCCAGAGGTCGGGCGGCCGTGGGTTCGATCGGGGCCAGCTCTGAGGGTACCAGGAGTGCTCAGGCACGGTGGGTGCAGGTATGGGGTGGGCGCCGCCGCACCTGGGGGCGCGCGGGGCAGGGTGGGGAGCTGCGGGGCGGGGTGGGGTTGGGGACCGCGGTGGCGGGGGGCCGGGCTGGGGTGGCGGGGACAAACGGGGCGGGGGCCGGGGAGGCGGGGCGTGGCGGGGGTGGGGTGGGGGCGGGACGGGGGCGGGGAGGGGAATGGCTGGGCTGGGTGGGGCGGACAGGGGCCGGGGGCCGGGCTCGGCCCGGCGCGGGCGGAGGCCGGGGGCTGGGGGCGGGGCCGCGCCCCGGGGAGCCGCCCCGCCCGCAGGCCGCCCGCACCGCGAGGGTTAAGGCCCAGAGCCCGGCGGGCGGGGCGGGCACGCGCGGATTGGGGGAAAGTTTGGGCGCGGGGCGGGCACGGGGCGGGCGCGGGGCGAGCCGGGGCGAGCCGATTGGAGGGAAGTTGTGTCGGGGCGGGGCGCGCGGCGGGCTCGGCGCTCGCTCCGGGAGAGTTGACAAAGCCCCGCAGGGAAGGACGCCTCGCGGCGCGGCGCCCCGGGCCCCTCGCCCCGCCGCCCCGGGACCCCGGCCCCGGCCTCCAGCCCCTGGACTCGACCCCTCCGCCCGCGCTGCCTCCGGACCCGGCCTCGGCGCCGGTCCTGGCCCGAGCCGCCCGCGCCCAGGTAGCGCCGCCCCGTCCCGAGGCCGGGCCCGGGGGCGCGGGGCGCCGGGGTGAGGCGCCCCGGGCGGCGATGACCGCGCAGCGCGTCCCGCGGGCCCGGCCCTGAGCCCCGCCGCCCGCCTGCCCCGCCGAGGTGAGCCCCTCCGCGCGCCCGAGACCCCCGGGGGACCGACTGGGAGGCCCGACTGGGGACGACCAGGGTCCGGGGTCCGGGATCTGGCCGGGGGCTGGGAGCGCCCGGGTCCCGGATGGCCGGGTGCACGCGCCGCCGCCGCCCCTGCCGAGCCAGTGGTCCTGTCCGCGCCCCGCCCCCGCCCCTGCACCCCACGTGGGCCCCCCCCCCCCCAAGCGCAAATTTGTCCGCTAATGGCGCTGGCGATTATCTGCGCGGCCGCCGGTGTTGTGTGTCCCGCGGGCAGGGCCTGAGTTACAAGCGCCAGGAATCCAGACGGTGTTTAGAGACTGGGGGCGGCGGGGGAGGCCGGTAATTAGTGTAAACCCTTTGTCTGCCTTTGATACCCACGGTGCTCCCCGCCGCTGCTTCCTCCGCCCGGAGCGCTGGCAGGGAAGGCGGGGCGGCCCGCACCCCGATCCCCGCAGCCGGCTCCGGCGCCCTGGGCTAGAGGGCGGCGACCCCTATCCCGTACGCCAGTGACCGACCCTCAATACCTCCAGGTCCGGACAGGCCAAGATGACGCCCAGCCCCACGTTGTTGCTGCTGCTGCCCCCGCTGCTGCTGGGGGCCCTCCCGCCGGCCGCCGCCGCCCGAGGTGAGTCCTGGCGCCCAGCCCGGCGCCCCGGCCTGCGCCAGCGCCGCCCCTTTCCCTCCCGGCCCTGAACCCTGCCACAGTGCCCGGCTGGCGCGCGTGCCTGCGCCCCGCCCCTACTAGCCCCGAGCTTGGCGGGTCTACGCACCGCTGGGCCCCCGGGCTCACCCCCAGGGTACACCCCCCTTTGCCCATGGGGTGCGCCAGCTCACCATGCCCCTCCCCAGCTCATCTGTAGGGTCCCCCAGCTCATCCCCAGCTCACCACCAGCTCACCCTTGGGACTCCATGCTCACTGAGGGGGCACACCTCACCCACAGGGCCCCTCTCACCGAAATATCACCCCGGCTCACCTGTGGGGCCCCACACTTGCTGGCAGAGTGGGCTCTGGCCCCAGTCCCCCTCAGGACACACGCATGTCCATATGTATCTGAAGTTGAGGGCAGCTGGTTATCCTGGGGATTTTGGTGGGGTAGGCCCCTGGGAACCTGCAGAGACCCCCATGGTGGCCAGGGTGGGGTTTGAGGACAGTGGGGACATTGTTAGTGTCTGGGATTCATGACCCAGCCCTGTGTCCTGAGCTTGCCCATCCCTAGAAAGTTAGAGGGTAGGGGCTGGGGGGATGGAGTGTCGGGAACGTGGAGTTGCTGCATGGTGTAGGGGTGGGGGCTTGTCTCAAGGCCCACCCAGAGGACCACCTGCTTCAGGCTGCGTGTCCGCGTGTGCCATGCCAGGACTTAGATGCATGCTCACACACCTGATGTCCAAGTAGGCAGGCCCGGAATGTCTCCTGAGGGACCCTTGCCCCTGTACGCAGCCCCAGCAAGGTACATCCTTGGCTGGCAGGTGATGGGACATACATGTTCACGGACTCCCACCCGCCATATTCTGCGCTGGCTTCTCAGCTAGGCGGGCCCTTTGGCCAGGCCAGCCCTTTGGGTGTGTTGACCACTCAGGAACGTCCCTGCCCTGTCCACCAGTCCTCTGAGGCTTCGCACCCCTCCCCCCGCCACCCAGCGGGTACACCGAGCCCAACCCGGCCTTATATGGGCACGTTTGGGTGTTGGGTGGCAGGCGGCAGCCCAGGTGGGCCTAATGCCACAGTACCCCCCCGCCTGCCCGGCTGGGGACTGGCCCGGTGGCTTAAGGGCGGGGGCTGTCCAGGCGTGGCTGGGCCTGGCAGTGTCCTGGGCACGGCGGGCACTCAGGTCATACCCAGCAAGGCACCCCCCCCGCCCCGGTGGCCGGCAGCCTGGATTCTGACTCCTCTTTCATCTGCTTGGACTCCCCTCATTCCCACACCTGCCTGTCCTCTGGCTACTCAGCCAGCTCTGGAGGCCGCTGTCCTGGCCTGGTCATTGGCCGGAGCCCACCGCAGAGAGGTGGATGGCAGTGATGATGGCAGCGGGCGATGGCCGCGGGCGGCAGGGCCTGCCTCGGTGCCAGGGGGCCCTGGAGGGGCCACACTCTGCTCTGTTCCCCTCCGCCTTGGCCTGGGGCCTGCGCCTGGTCTCCAGCCCCGGCCCTCACGCTGGCCGTGCACGGCCCTAGCGGCTGCAGGGACCTGAGAGCTACTCTCCAAGGGCAAGGTCCTGTGTGGCTCTGGGGGGCGGGGTGTTGGGGACCCCTGCTCCTGAACTGTGCTGGCTTCTGCTTCAGGCCTGGCCTTGAGGGGCACGGCCGCTCGGTGCGTCCGGCTTTGTGGGTGAGCAGGCCAAGCGCCGACTTCCTTTAGGCGGGCAGAGTGGTGCAGAGAGAGCCGGGCTGTTTTCTGAAAGCTGTCCTCCCCGTGCGTCACGCTTTCTGGAGTCAGCGCGTCTCCAGACTCAGATCATGTTTTTAAAGTTCCCCTTTCTGGAAGTTTCACAATCATGGTGGGTTTGTCTTAAACAGCTTTTTCCAAATTTGAGGGAAGATAGGATTCGGGTTTCTCACAGTGGGAACTTGAGAGGTTCCGAATGACATACCCTACCCAAATAGCTTTAGAAGAACTTGTGGAAGGGGTTGTTCCGTTTGAACTTTTCCAAGGAGGATGCAGTGGACAGGTCTCTGAGCAGCCAGCCCTCGAGGTCACCTCCCTGTCCTCTGAACCCTGCGGGCCTGCCCTGGTAGGGCCGAGCGCTGCCCCCCTGGGGCTGGGTGCCGGCCGCTGGGTGCCCCACTCCACGGGGATGGTGCCTTCTTGCCATGCGGGCTGTGTTGGGGGGGGTCCGCCAGTGTGTGTGATTCAGCGGGAGGGCTGTCATGATGTGCGTGTGCGCCGGCTGGCCTTGGCCTCTGGCCAGGCCGCAGGGGGCCTTCCCCCCACCCCTACGGGCAGCGGCGGGCCAGTGCGCAGCCCCTGCTGAGGTGGATGTGCGGGAGTTGGGCCCAGGCACTGTGAGGTGGGGATGCAGGCCAGCCGCCCCATTTATGTCTCGGGCCCCACTCCTGGAAGAGAAAATAAATCACTGTCCCCTCTGGGGGGAGGAGGGAGCTATGAACAAAGTCGCCTTTGGCTGGGCCTGGAAACTCCTACCGCAGGCTCCTTCTTCATTGTGCGGGAATCAATGGGCCTTCAACCCCCGCCCAGTGCCATGGGGAAATGTTGGTTTTTCCCAGCAGTGGCCTCAGCCTCCGGCTTGGGGTTCAGGCACTGCTAACCGTGCTCGCGGAGGCAGGCGTGGTCCTGCAGGCCGAGGGCCTTGCTGCTGGCCATTTCCCTGCTGGTGGCTGGCCCTCTGTGCCTTCCCAGTGACTGCGGCCCTGGCATGTCCAGGTGACAGCCTCCGTGGGCAGGATCAGCACGTGGAGGGGAGGGTGTGCCCGGGCCACTGTGTTCAGACCCCACAGATGCCGCACCCAGTGCTGCCACCCAGTCTGCCTGCCATCTTCCTAGTGGTGGTCACTGCATGCTCCTGGCCAAGGCCCGTGGGTGTCCAGCGTGGCTACTCTTGGGGCCCACGGAGAGCAGGGCCCACTGCCCTGGGCTAGTTCAGGCTGGAGCGGCAGCTAGGCGGCCCACAGTCTAGGAAGGCTAGGGGAGGTGGGGTGAGGGCCTGGGGAGAGGATAGGCAGCACAGCCCGGAAGGAGATGTGGGCACTGGTCAGGTGAGGAGAGGAAAGGCCTCCAGGTAGGGCAATAGTCTGGGGAGAGGTGGGCAGGTCACATTGACTAGGGTGTACATCCTGTGGCCACAGGTGCCTTGGTGTAGCTGGATTGGGGGCCATGAGTAGGCACAGGCCAGGACTGGGCTGAGAGGCTGGTTGGCTGGGGTGCAGGGAGCAGGGGCTGGGGGCGTCCCGGGGGCTGGCTTCCTGCCCCCCCCCCCCGTGAGTGGCTGGGGGCAAGGCCTCGAGGCTGGAGGGCCCTACACACCCTTCATCCCACATGGACCGCCCCCTTGGGGAGCACCAGCCTGAGGCAGGGGCTTCCAGGACTGTCCCTGAAATGCTGGAGACAGTGTGGCAGGGACAGTGCTCCAGCCTCAGGCCTGCTGACCCCCAGGGCTTCCCTTCTTGGCAGGAAACAATGGCTTTCTTCCCCAGTTTGCTAGAGATTTACACAAGCCCTGCACTGTGAAGAAATAATGGGGCCTGGGTCAGCAGGCAGTGGGGAGGGAGCTGGGCCCAGCTCTGGCCTGGGCCCCTGCTGGGCAGTGATCCCCTCCAACTCCACCGTGCTGAGCCCCAGGAGAGCCAGGGCCACCGGCCAGCGCCCCCTGCGCTCTGTAGCGGCCGGCCCATTCCGGCAGGGCCCGCGGGCTTCACCGTGGAGCCCGGCAGCAGGTACCGCGTGCGCCATGACCTGGGTAGCCGCACCCTGCAGCCTTCAGGGACCGCAGGGGTCCCGGCATGCCAAAGTGCCATGCCCTTGGGTCTGTCCGCAAGAAGCTGGCTGTGGGCTGTTGGCCGTGGACACGGGGGCTGGGTGGAGCAGGGGTGGGTGGGAGTGCGGGGCTCGGTGGCCCGGGGCTTGCCCAGGCTGCCGGGGGCGTTGGGCTGCCCAGCGCCCGAGCCCTCGCAGGAAGCTGGCACCTTGGTGCCTAAATGCCAGCCTCTGGCCCCGGGGTCCCAGGCTCAGGAAACACCCAGCCATCGGGTTAGAGGCCACAGCGGGCGAGGCCCTCGGGTGGTCTGGGCCTCTTGTCATGTTACCCTGTCCTTTGGTCCAGCGCCAGCATGTGAGGGAGGCCCAGTGGACCGGGTCCTTCTTGGTTCCTTTGCTGGGACTGGGGCTGCGCCCCTCTGGGGAGCCAGTGATGCTGGACCAGTTCTAGGTGCGGGACGTTCTGTGAGGTGGGGGATGGGTGGCAGGTGCGGGCAGGGGTCCGCTTGGAGTGTGGCAGACTTGGCAAGCTCTGGACGCAGCCACCAGGGCGTCCAGCTGAGCCCTCTGGGTGGGTTCTGTGGCAGTTCCTGTGGGGACCCCCAGGGCAACAGCATGTCAGGGGACGCTCTGTGGCTCCCGTGTGTGCCTTGGGAATGGCGAAGAGGAGGAGCCCTGGTCAGGGCTCTGCTGGAGGTCCACCCGGGCGCTTCCTGGGCAGGGGACGGACCTAGTGGGCCCCACCCAGCCCGTTGCCTTACGCCGTGCTGCTCCTGGGCAGTGGGTTGGACAGGACACCCCAGCCAGCTTGCTTGCTCGGTGGGTCAAGCTGTCCCTTTCCTGCACCCAGAGCGGCCTGGTTTCTGGGGCAACCACCTGCCCTTCGGGTCCTACCAGTTCCATTGCAGATCCCGTGGGTCCAGCCCCCAGGGGCCGCCCTGGGCCTGCTGACTAGGAGCCCGTGTGTGTGTGTGTGTGTGTGTGTGTGTTACTGCATGGCTCAGAGCCAGGGCAGAGGCTGACCCCAGCCTCTCATGGCCGCCCTGTGGTGGTCTTCATCCGTGCCCCCTCTTTTTGGCCTCCCTGCTTCCTAGGCCTCCTTGGGGAGGGTACTGGCCCCAGGGCCGCCGTGGCTGGGCCTTCCCAGCTCCGCCCCCCCACCGGTGTTTGCTCACCGCGGGGATCAGCACAGGGACCCCCCCACTCTCCCAGAGAGTGCCCACCTGCCCTGCCTGGTCCAGGGTGTCCAGCCAGGCTAGGTAGGCCCTGCCTCCCCTCCCTGCCCTCTGCTCAGGCCCCATCACACTGTCCTTTGAGTCCTCTTTTCCAGGCCACTTGACTTCTCCAGGAGGAGAGGGCTCTGGTGGCTCCTGGCTGGCCGTCCAATGTCACTTCACGGCCAGTCCCAACGAGGTCAGCCTGACGACCACCTACCCCCACCCAGAGGGTTCCTTCCGGGCTGGAAATTTCTGGGGCTTCTCAGGGTTGACTGGGAATGGAGCCAGCCCCGATGTGCTGGCCGCGTGGTTCCTGCACCCCTCACTTCCACCTGTGTCCATGGCCCCAGTGTGGGCGGCGTGGGCTGGTATGGGGTGAAGCCCCCGGCACATGGGGCCCCGGGGAGGGGCAGTGCCTGGTCCAGCTCCTTGGGAAGGGTGCTCAGGGTCTGCAGGTCACGAATGCCTTGGGCAGTGGAGGGAGGCAGAAGCTGACACGTGGAATGCCCCCACAGCCAGGCCCTGGACAGACCTGAACAGAGCAGGGCCTTGGTTGTGGTTCAGACGTGGTTCACCCAAAAGGGGCACTGCAGCTCCCGGTGGAGGGCAGGGAGGAGGGGGTGTTGGGGAGGTGTATCGGGAGGGGATAGGCAGTGCAGAGGCCGTGAGGGTTAGTGAGGTGTGGGGGGCTGAGCTTCAGGTGGCCCCCGAGGGTCTGTGAAAACTGCATGGGATAGGCTGCAGTTGGGGGTCCTGTCCCTCTACCTCCATCATGTGTCACCCCCCCTCCTTCCCAGCGGCCCTGCCCCCTTCAGCCCTCCTAGGGCCCACTGGGATGGGAGGGACATCAGCTGAGGTTCCAGTGGAACCTTGTTTTGCTAAACCTTGGGAAACGGTGCTCTCAGCAGGTGGGGCAAGGGGGTCGCTGGTGTGGGGAGTCTGCATCCACTGTTGGGGTATGTCTCTCTGTGTGTGCATGTACCTGAGGGACTGTCTGTGGGTAGAGTGGGTGCATCTGGGGGACAGTGTCTGGGGGACAGTGTCTGGGGGACAGTGGGGGACAGCCTGTGTGTCTGGGGGACAGTGTCTGGGGGACAGTGGGGGACAGCCCGTGTGTCTGGGGGACAGTGTCTGGGGGACAGCCCATGTGTCTGGGGGACAGTATCTGGGGGACAGCCTGTGTTTCTGGGGGACAGTGTCTGGGGGACAGTGGGGGACAGCCCATGTGTCTGGGGGACAGTGTCTGGGGGACAGCCCGTGTGTCTGGGGACAGTGTCTGGGGGACAGCCTGTGTGTCTGGGGGACAGTGTCTGGGGGACAGTGGGGGACAGCCCGTGTGTCTGGGGGACAGTGTCTGGGGGACAGCCTGTGTGTCTGGGGGACAGTGTCTGGGAGATGGCATGATAGGATGTATGTGTGACACCTGAGTTCTGGATGGCGGCTGGGAAGCCTGGCTGTGTAGGCTGGATATGTGGGGTCTTCTGGGTTGCTGCCCCCTGACCCCTCCTGGCACCCCCATTCCTGGCCATGTTTTCACAGCTGTTGGGGAGGAGGACGGGAAGGAGGGAGGGAGGAAAGGGGGTGTGGTGATCCTCTCTCTGCCACCACCTTGATGTTCAGCCCCCTTGAGGGGTGAGACCCAGCCCCGGCCTCCGTTTGCCCCCATGTCTGCCCCCTCCATGTGGCTGTCCACATCCTGCCCATGCCCAAAACTGCCCAAGGCTGTGGCTTACGGTGTGTGGAGGGTCGAGGGCTTCCTGGGGGTGGTGCTCATGGGGAAGTGCGAATGCTGGCTGAAGGACTCCAGGGGCCGCCCCAGAGCTGGTGGGAAACTGGCTGCCCCCCACCCCTGACCCACACGCCCTCCAGCTGCCTCAGCTCCTGCCTCAGTTTGCCTTTGGCTGGGTGGGTTGGACACCTGACCAGGTGGAACAATGGGGGCTTGTGTTTCCCAAGCTAAATATAGAGCCGTGGCAGTCAAACTGGCAGCCAAAATCCCCAGGAATCTGGGGGGGCTCCCTCCGGTGAGTCTGCTGGGGTCTCTGCAGAGGCAGGGGTGGAGGGGGCAGGGCAGGCCTGGCCGAGGGGGAGGGGAGGGGGCTGTTTGCTTTAGGATAAGGCTGGCTCCGGCTGGGGCCTCTGGCTCCCGCCTGCCTGTCCCCCTGTACTGCGTGCAGGCCGGCCCTCGGGGCCACACTTCCCGTCGGTCTGGCGGTCACTTGGCTCTGTCCTCCTCTCCCTTCCACAGTGGCCTCTGAGGCCCAGTAGATGCCCCCCACCGCCCTCCCACCTCCTCAAACTCGCCTGCCTGGTGCAGGGAGGGGGCGGGCCTGGGGGTGCCCCTCCTGCCCCTCCTGCCCCTCCTGCGCCCGCAAGCACTGTCCAATGGGTCCTCTGTCTGCTCCTGACTCAGGCTTCTTGCGGGGCCGGGGCTGTGCTGGCCAGGGTGGGATTGGGACAGGCAAAGCCCCGGGGAGAGGGACCCCGTGCTAGCCCCCGGCACCTGCCAGGCGGTTTTTGGGTCTGTGTGCACACCCAGGTGTCAGCCTCGGAGGCTCCGGGCAGGCTGCGGGGTGGCCCCTCTGAACAGTGGGATTGCAGGCAGAGACAGGTGTCGGATGGTGGCTGCCTGGGAGTGAGGCCAGGACCCTGCGCGCTGGGGGCCTCAGGAGACCCACTTGTCTGTGGGCCCTGCAACCCGTCCCCCTGCAAGTTGGGGGTGTCTGGGGGCCCCATGTGCAATTGAGAAATTAGGGAGCGGTAGATCTCAGCAGCCCCTTCCTGGGGTACTGGGGGCTGGTGAGGAGGCGGCTGGCTGGGAGTGCAGGGATGGCCTGGGGCCCATGTTAGGAACCCCATGGCAGGGGTTGGGTGGACCCTAGCAGAGGCAGAATATGGGTGCAGAGAAGCGTTCCTGGGGGTGGGCTCGGTGGGGCAGGGTGGGTGAGCAGGTGGGGGCTGGGTAGGGCCCTCCCCCACAACCTCTAGCTCCCTTTTTGCTTTTTGCTTGTGGTCATAGAGGGAAGGGCCTGGTGTTGCTGTGTCCCCCGCTTCCCTGTCCCCCCAGCAAAGCTGGGCCGCCTCCCTGCCTGGACCCTGGGCTGTCAGCTCCCTGCATCCAAATGGGGACCGGCCCCACCTCCCCTCAGCTCCTGCAGACCAGTGGTGTGGGGCTGTGCTCTGCAAGGGTCCCCTGGGGTGGGAGGGGGCGAGCCTCCAAAGAGCCCGCGGAAGCACTCTGGGTCCTGGATGCAAAGGCCGGCAACGAGCAGCTGGTGATCACGCGCTGAAGAAATACCGGCTGGTTATTAGGGATACGTGCTGCCCTCAGGCCCCGTAGCGACAGCATCTCCCAGCAGCCGCCGCCCGGCGCCTCCGGGAGGCCAGGACGCGGGATGCTGGCCCTCCTGGCCTGAGTGGCCGCACTGTGGGGTAAGTGCCCCCGGCCAACAGCCGGAGGGCAGGGTCTCGGGAGCTGGGCCCAGCCAGGCCCCTGGGAAGGGCAGAGGGGTGCCCGGAGCCGCCTCTCCTGGTCTGAGGGTACCGTGGGTGGGGTGAGTGTAAGAGCTCAGCGCCCCTGCGGTCACCCCATAGTGCAGGAACTGTGGCGTGGGCCAGGAGGTGGCCCCGCCTCTCTCGGACACCTGCAGTGTCCTTGCCAGCGGCTGGGCATGCCCGCTCTCCCTGCACCAGAGGCACTGAGGCTGGCCGTGGCCTGACATGGCTGGGAGTGGGTTTCTTCCCGCCGGCGACTTGGGCTTCCCCCGTTGGGGGACAGCAGGCAGGGGGCTGCCAGCCAGACGGGAACCTCGCTGCGCGCCCTCTGGCCTCACCGTGCCGCTCGGCCCAGCCTCCTGGTGTGCCGTGGCAGATGCAGACAGCCACAGACACGGGCCCCCAGACACTTCTGTTTGTGCTGCATGGACTCCCTCCCGTGCGCCTTGCCTACGGGAGGCCGTGGGGGGCCGTCCTGGCTCGCCTGTGGACGTGCATCCCGGCTGAGCCACCCCAGCCCCTCTGTACCCTGGCTTCTCTGTGACGGCATGTATGGGGAGTTGCGTGCGCACGGCCTGGCGGGCAGCGGGTTCCAGGTGAATGCTGACCATCGCGGTCTGGGAGCAGGGCGCTGGCCTCCAGACCCCCACTGCCTGGGCTGGGCAGGTGTATGTGCGTGGAGTCCCAGGTGGGGACCCGACGGGGACAGCCCCCTCCCCCGGCTCCCAGCACGCATGCCTGCCTGCACTCCCGACCGCCTGCCGCCCCCCTCTCCTCCTGGACTGAGCCCTCTGGCCTGCCCGCAGGTCCCCCGAGGATGGCGGACACGGTGGTTCCAAGGCAGGTGGCCCGGCTGGGCCGCACCGTGCGGCTGCAGTGCCCCGTGGAGGGCGACCCACCGCCACTGACCATGTGGACCAAGGATGGCCGCACAATCCACGGCGGCTGGAGCCGCTTCCGCGTGCTGCCCCAGGGCCTGAAGGTGAAGGAGGTGGAGCGGGAAGACGCCGGCGCCTACGTGTGCAAGGCTACCAACGGCTTTGGCAGCCTCAGCGTCAACTACACCCTCATCGTGATGGGTCAGTGGTGGCCACGCTGGGGCCGTGCCGTGTGGGCCCCGAGTCCATGCAGCCTGGGGAGCGGACCTTCCCTCCCCCCCTGCCGGCCTCCTCTGAGCCCAGGACAGGACGTGACCTCTGTGGTCACCACCCTGGCCTGAGCCCCCCCGTGGGCCTGTGCCTTGGGGTCCCCAAGCTCTGCTGACGGGGAGACCAAGGCTGGCTAGGGGGCAGCAGGAGTGGGCACGGGGAGCCCCAGGGTGGTGGTCCCACTAAAGGGCCGGCCGGGCAAGCTGGCGGCCTTGGCGTCGGCTCCAACTTTGAGGCTCAGATTTCAGAGTTCAGAGGGGCCGCCAAGGGCCTTCTGTTCTCTTCTGCCTCTGGGGCCCGGGCTCGGGGACTGGCGGGGTCCCCAGCGACACACCCTCTGCACGCCTGGCCCTCCCCCACGGGCTCCCGGGTGGGTCCCTGGGGGTGGGGCTCCCTGGCAGTCATGGCGGCCCATCTCGCAAAGCGGGAGCGCTTGACCTCTGCCACCCCCTCCCGGGTCCCCGGCTGGGTGGAGGCGGCTGTCCCAGGAGGGGCATTCCTCAGCCTGCCCCACCCCCGCTGGGCCCCCTGCTCTGGATTGTGGGATGGGAAGACCGCTGGTGTCCCCCCCACTGTCCTTTGAAAGGGGAGGATGACGAGGCGGTATGCGAGCCATGTCAGCTCACCAAGGCCTCGGCTCCTTGATGTGGGCTAGGGTTACTGCAGCTGCTGGGCAGGCCTGGCCCCCTCCTCCCACTGGCCCTGCAGACCCCCCGGAGCCAGGGGGGGCAGCTCTGTTGGGGTCACCTGCACCCAGGGAGTCGGCTGGGCAGACAGCTCTTGCCCGGCTGTCTCTGGGATTCTGAGATGTGGGCGTGCCTCCAGGGGCTCCCATTTGTGTTTCTAGAGCTTTCCCAGCTGGGCCCATGGCTGGGGTCAGGGTGGGGACTGCTGGGGCCCCTCTCACGTGCCCTCCTCTCTGCAGATGACCCTGGTGTGGGAAGGGAGCGTCTGGGGCAGGACGGCTCCTCTGGGGGCCAGGAGGACGCAGCCAGCAAGCAGTGGGGTGAGACCCTCCTCCTTGGGTGCGGGTGGGGGCTGCCCCCCCGTGCCGTGCTGACCTCTGTGCTGTCCGCCTTGCAGCGCGGCCCCGTTTCACACAGCCCTCCAAGATGAGGCGCCGGGTGATCGCCCGGCCAGTGGGCAGCTCTGTGCGGCTCAAGTGTGTGGCCAGTGGGCACCCACGGCCCGACATCACATGGATGAAGGACGACCAGGCCTTGACAGGCTTGGAGGCCGGGGAGCACAGGAAGAAGAAGTGGACCCTGAGCCTGAAGAACCTGCGTCCCGAGGACAGTGGCAAGTACACGTGTCGCGTGTCCAACCGCGCAGGCGCCATCAACGCAACCTACAAGGTGGACGTGATCCGTGAGTGCCAGGGCTGTGGGGCCGTGGGGGGCTGGCGGCGCCCGGGGAGGCGCTAACGTCGTGTCCCCGTGCAGAGCGGACACGCTCCAAGCCCGTCCTCACGGGCACGCACCCCGTGAACACGACCGTGGACTTTGGGGGCACCACGTCCTTCCAGTGCAAAGTGCGCAGTGACGTGAAGCCAGTGATCCAGTGGCTGAAGCGCGTGGAGTACGGCGCCGAGGGCCGCTACAACTCCACCATCGACGTGGGCGGCCAGAAGTTCGTGGTGCTGCCCACGGGTGACGTGTGGTCGAGGCCCGACGGCTCCTACCTCAACAAGCTGCTCATCACCCGCGCGCGGCAGGACGACGCCGGCATGTACATCTGCCTGGGGGCCAACACCATGGGCTACAGCTTCCGCAGCGCTTTCCTCACCGTGCTGCCAGGTGTGTGGGCCCCCCGCCCCCAGCCCGGGCCCCCCGAGGCCACGTGCCGGCCTCCCGCAGCCTTTCCTGGGACCCGTGGCGACGACCCTCTCCCACCCCCTTCCTGGGCCTCTCTTGCAGACCCCAAGCCGCCAGGGCCACCCGTGGCCCCCTCGTCCTCGGCCACTAGCTTGCCGTGGCCCGTGGTCATCGGCATCCCGGCCGGCGCCGTCTTCATCCTGGGCACCGTGCTCCTGTGGCTCTGCCAGGCCAAGAAGAAGCCGTGTGCGCCTGGGCCTGCCGCCCCCGTGCCTGCGCACCGCCCGCCCATGGCCGCCCGCGACCGTGGCGGGGACAAGGACCTCCCCGTGCCAGCCAGCCTCGGCACCGCCCCTGGCCTGGGGCTGTGTGAGGAGCTTGGGCCTCCGGCAGCTCCCCAGCACCTGCTGGGCCCGGGCCCATCTGCTGGGCCCCGACTTTACCCCAAACTCTACACAGACGTGCACACGCACACGCACACACACACGCACTCGCACACACACTCTCACGTGGAGGGCAAGATCCACCAGCACCAGCACATCCACTATCAGTGCTAGACCGTGCGGCCGCGCGGGGCGCCAGGGGGCACGTGGGGGGCTGGGGGCAGAGGGCCGCGGAGACAGTGGAGCCCAGGCAGGGGCACAGTCAGCCCCCGGGCGCCCTGGATGACGCACACGCGTGTATGACATACCTCTGGACACACACACACACACACACACACCCCCCCCCAGACTCAGACGCCCTGGGGAAGGTCTGCGTTTGTAACTTTGCAGTGTGCATGTAGCAGCAGGCTAGTGATGAAGGAATCCCTTGGCTCCTGTGAGGAGGATTTCACAGGGGCCATGGTCAAGCCGCCCCTCCCGCCCCTGGCAGGAGGTCGGAGGGGCACCCTGGCTTTGCAAACCGAAACCCCCGACCCCTGTCCTGTGCTGGCCTCCGTGTCCCTGACCAGGCCTCCGCGGGCGGCTGGCTCTGCTTGCCACCCCAGTCCCTCGGGCCGGGAGGTCAGGCAGAGCAGTCCAGACCCCTGTCCTGAGAGGCGGGTGCCGGCTGGGGGTGACCCTGCCCATCCAGCCTCCCACTGCCAGAGAGAAGGGCCCTTGATATTTATATTTAAGAAATGAAAATAATAATATTAATAATGCTGGAAGGAAGGTGGCACTGCAGACCAGGCCTGTCCTCAGGCCTGGGACGCACCTGGCCTGCTGGCCAACTGGATGGCCACCTTGGGGCACCCATCGCCCCACTGCCTGTGGCAGCCCCAGACCTCTGTAATTTTATATAGAGTTTGAGCTGAAGCTTCGTATATTTAATTTATTTTGTTAAACAAGAAAATGTGCATCTTCTTCCATTAAGCTGGTGTTTCTGCCTTTGGCTTCTGTGCATGTGCACGTGTGTGGGCCTGTTACAGGTGTGTGTGTGTGTGCAGGCCTGGGTCTGCGTACATGTGTGTGCCAGGCTCGGGCTCCAGGAGTCCTGTCACTGGCCTGAGGTTCTGGGGCTGGCACCTTGGGGTCCCGGGGCCTCATCAGCTCCCCCGAACCGAACTCAGGTAGCCATGTTTGGAGCGCTGACTGATCACGCACCTGCAGACACCTCCCGAGCTAGCTAGAGTCCTGCACACCTGGCCCAGCGGGTGTCCCCCTCCCTCCCTACCAGTATGGCCCCCATGGCCCTCAGTGCAGGGCTGTGGTTTCCCTGGCCCACACTCTGGGGGTTCAGCTGGTGGCCTTGGAGGGCTGGGGCCTTGTTGTCACCTCCGTCCTGGTGCCTGCTGCCTGGAGGGTGCAGTCCCAAGTCTGCCAGCCGTTACCAGGTTATGAACAACGGTCCCACTCTCCAGCTGGGGACACTGAGCCTGGGACTTGTTGCCTCTTAAGAAAAGGCACTAAGATAATGTGATTTTTAGCAAAGCCACCTCTGTGAGGTCCCCAGAGCCTCAGAAGTCTGGCTGAAGGAGCGGGGGGCACTGTAGGGAACAAGGATAGGTCCTGCCCAGCGCTACAGGCCAGGGCACTGACCCTCCCACCTGGTACTGCTGGTTCCCTGCAGCCAGAGCTCCCCAAGGTCAAGCCTCCCCCATCTCCCTTTTCCCCAGCTGAGGGCAGGTCTGGGGACCCTCTCTTCTGGTGTCCGGGGGCTAGGCCCCAGCCTCTGGCCCTCTTCCTCTGGGCCCCCTGGCCTCCCCAGGATGGACCCCAGTCTTTCTGTCCCCAAGGAGGCAAGGGCTAGCCCTGAGGGAAGGCCCACTGGGGTGATCCTGATCCCACAGGCAGTGACCGAGCCTGGGCAGGGCCGGTGGCCTCTGGGTGTTGGGAGGCCACCCTCAGTGGACGTCATGGGAAGCCAGGTGTGGGAGCTCTGCTGGAGCAACCAGGGGTAGCTGTGGGGGCTTCAGGCAACCACAGCTGGTGACCAGCAGATGTTCCCCAGACAGGACAGGCTGTGGGGGCCGGTGCCTGGATGCGTTTCGGTCTGAGGTGGGGGAGGGATGGAAAGAGCCTTGGGTGGTGGGGAGAACTCGGGCTACAGGACATCCATAGGCCATGGGGGTTGGAGCAGTCCCCACCAGCACCTGAGAGGGTACAGCCCACCCTCCCCCGGACCTGCAAAGGTGCCCATGCCCTTCCCAGCCGAGGTCCGGTGTGTCTGCCTGGGGTTCACATGGGACCTGCCCTTGTCTTCTGCCCCTTCTGCGTTCTGATGGATCCTCTCTCAGGGCCAAGACAGGCCTGGCAGGGCCCTGGGTCCTGGCTCTCGCTGAGACCAACAGCCCTGGGGTCCACACCCCCGAGAGCCCTTTCAGGGGTTCTGAGGGAAGGCGGGCACTGAGGGACTGGTGACTCTGTGAACACGTGGGGACCCTGTCTGGTCCCCCCAAAGCTCTATGCCTTCATTACCACACCTTGGGGCTCAGGGTCCTCAGCCGCAGCCTGACCCACAACGACCTCAGCTTCCTGCTCTAGAGACCATCACGTGGGTCCAGACCCCTCTCCGTGCGCTTCTCAGGGGCCACCTGCAGCTTGCAGACCCTTCTCCCTTGGCCCCGCGCTGTCCCTCTGCTCTCGGTGGGCTGTCGCCAGCTCCATGCTGCCTGACCCCTGGGCCATTCTGCCCACTCCCACTCTGCACCTGAGCCCACATCTCTGTCTCCATGGGTGCCCGGCCCCCCGTCGGGGACTCCCAGGTCTGATGCAGAGGGACAAGACTCAGCTGGTGTTAAGGGCAGGGTCCCCCACCCAGGATGGGGCCTAGAGACAGAGAGGAGGGGTGGGTGGGGAGGTGGGCTTCCGCTGCCCCTCCATTTTCACCCCTGCCTGGGCAGAAAGGCCAGTGAGCCACCACCAAAGCTGTGGGGACCACCAACAAGGAGACAACACCTGGTGCCCCCAGCTCTGTGGGGTTCTCTGCGGAGTGGGGCCTGGGCCCTGCCCTGGGAGCTCCCAGTTTGGAGACAGAGGGGAGGGACCCAGCTGCGTCCTCAGAGTGACCCCAGGCCAGGCTGGACAGGGACGTGTGACAGGCCATTTCAGGAGGACGCTCTTGGCGTCCTGGGTGGGGTGCGGTGTGCCGGGTGGATGGAACCCCAAGTGCTGAGCGGGGCCAGCACTCTTCCCTCTGATCTGTCCCCATGTGGTGATAAGCTGGCCCCGTGAAGCCCGGAGCACTTGAAAGGGCAGGTTCCCGGCCATCCTGGCTTCAAAGGGGAGGCTCATCCCACAGCTGTCCCGGGGGGGGGGGGGGCTCAGGCTGATGCGAGTGAGGGGGCCGGGGGACAACCCCACCCTCATAGGACTTGGGTCGGGACGGCCTGGCAGGAGATCAGAGCCTTGTCCTGGGGTCAAGCCAGGGGACTGGGACAGGAATGCAGGATGTGGGACCCAGGAGAGGTGTCAGGAACATGGGACATGCAGGCGGGACACAGGACGAGGACAGCACAGCCTTGGCCTGGACTCAGAGCCTGGGGTTAAGGGCCCGCAGGGGATGGCCAGGCTGTGTGGCGAGTGCTCATGAGCAGGCGCAGGGCACGGGGCCAGGCCGCACAGCCACAAGGCTGTCCTGTGGGCGTGGGCGGGGGCGGTGGGAGGTGGGCTACGGACACAGGGCCTCCCACTGGGCCAAGCCCGTTCAGGGAGCCGGGCCCCCTGGCTGGGCTGGGAAGGCAGGACACGGACCCCACCCCACACCTGGCACCAGGGTAAGGTGTGAGAACCTTCCAGGTGTCCCAGAAAGCAGGGCACTCAATAGAGCCCCTGCCACATCCAGGGGGCGCATGGGAGGGCTTGGCGGGGTGCAGGGGGCAAGGGTGGGGTCTGTGCCCTATGCTGACCTCACCGTGGTCCTAGCCCCACACGGCCACCCAGGCCTGGGGGACGCTCTCCTGGGGGGCCTGGGTGATGCAGGGTCCTGGGGTTTGGGGGTTATTTTTAGGCCTCATGACAGTGTCTCTGGGGAAGTATTTGCCCAGAGCCATGGCTGGGTACGCTGATGGAGGGCTGTCTGTAGCTCAGGAACCCTTGGTTACCCAGTGGCAGAGCTGGCCTGCAGTGGCCCCCCGGGGCTGGTGGGATCCATGCAAGGACAACCCCCCCCCCCATGGCCAAACCTCCAGCCCCCACACGGGGCTCCCGGTGGGCTTGCCTGTGGAGGCAGAGGGCGGGCTCAGTGCTCAAAGCTGGGGTGAAGCAGGGAGCAGACATGGTCTGCACTTCCCCCATCCAGTGAAGATGGGGGGGCCCCCAGGGGAGATGCCCACCCAGCCCTGGGCTGCTCTGGGGCCTAGCAGGACGGCCATGCCTCTGGGCCTCAGGCTCCACACACAGCCCTCATGCCGTCCGTCTCCCTCACAGATAGGCCTGGTCACTCTGACGCGAGTCACGGCCCAGTGGGGGCTTCCTGGCCAGCCCCTCACCATGACCCCCTGGCACCATCCCTCAGGCGTCCGTTCCCCAGCCTGGGACCGACCCAGGGGCAGCTCTGGCCTCCGGCACTGACAGCCCAGCCCTGCCTGCTGAACCTTGTAAAGGTCTGGGCTGTCCTTCCTGAGATTCAGCCCTGTCCTGTCAGCCCCACCCAGGGCGCTCCCTGGCCCCCGCCAGCCCCGCAGCTCTCCACAGCCTCTGCTTTGGCTCGGAGGTCGCTACAGGCCGGTGCCCCACCCCAGCCACTCTGGTCCCTGGGCTGCAGTTGCCCGAGCAGGGACAGTGCCCCCCCCCCCCCCCGCCCCCGCCGGCCCACGTGCTTTGGTGACGCTAGGTGGGAGCCGGGACACATCCCTGGGCCCGAGGGACCGAGGGGTGCTGAGCCCACCTCCCACCTGGGCTTCTCCCGTGGGGACAGCGCAGGGTCAGCCGCTCCTGATGACCGTTCCGGCCTCATGAACCCAATCCTGGGCACTGCCAGGGGTGAGCCTGGGGCCCTGCTCGGGGGGCTCAGGGGCTCAGCCCCGAATATGCTTCTGTGGCCCGCAGCCTGGCCCAGACTCCGTGGCTGCCAATGCCCAGTCAGCTGCTCGTGCCCTAGCGTTGCTGATTCGTGGGTGGGAGCCACTGACCAGGACTCGCACTAGCCCCTGCCTGCCTACGTCCGCCGCCAGCCAGGCCAGGCCTCCTGTGCCCCCACCCTGGGAATCCCGGTCAGCCCAGGGTGTGGGTGGGTGGGGACTCAGCACAAATTCAGCATCGGCCTGGGGCAGGGCAAGGCGCTG